TTCAGTGAACGGTCGGTCGGGTTTCCTTTTCCTTTTCTATTTCCAGATTTACAATGGTGAAAAGGAGAAGGACAAAATGTTACGAGTTATGACTAACTGTCCACCGACGTAACCAGATCTTATAACACAGTCCGGGAGTGCGACAAAAAGGCACACAACTGACAAGGGCATTTTGTCGCACTCCCGGACTGTGTTATAAGATCTGGTAACGTTGGTGGACAGTTAGTCATAACTCGTAACATTTTGTCCTTCTCCTTTTTCACCATAATTTAATTGGCTCACCATCTGAGTTCAAGATTCACAATGTATCGTATTTTCCCCATTATACGTACACGTCTTCAATACTGGTATATCTACTATAGTACATGCTGAGTGAGGATAAATTAAAGGACACATCTCTAATAATAGTACCGGTACATGCCGGATCGGTGTGATGCGCATTACTGGGGTACAGGCACCAGGGTCCACCTTACTTGGTTTATCATCTTTGTGTTTTTGTACGAACGATTCTTCCCATGGTCGGTTGTGTTTGCAGTCTTGCAGTACCATTATCATGAGTTGTTTGCCACCAGAATGACAGTGACACAGCGGCTGAGCCCAGGCAGTCAATTTTTCCAGAAACAATCAAAGTACACGCCTCCAACACTGGTACAGTCTCCTTTAGTAGTACAGGTCTGATCGCGTTTGAAAAAATAAAAAGTACTGTACATTTATTAGAATGAAGTTGAAGACACCACTGCAGCTGTACTTATGGTTGATAAATATGGTGGTAAAGACACACCTGGCAATATGGCGGTGAACACACGCCTGCCCACACACGCTCTCTAGGCTGCAAAGTTCTGGCACAGAGCTCTCCTTCTCACCACAGGTGTGTCTTTACCACCATATTTATCAACCATAAGTACAGCTGCAGTGGTGTCTTCGACTTCCTTCTCCCGAGTCAAGCTCCGTATGAAGACATCCAAGAAGAAGATTGCCTGATGAGTCCAGCGGGGACGAAACGTACGTCGCAATCGAGCTATGTCGTTGCTGTGTCATCATCTATGTGCCATGTGCTACTTGATGTACCAGCCTGCTATGCCGGATACCGACAGCCATGCATCGACCAGGCGCCAGGCGCGAACTGATGGTGGTGGTGGTGAGAAGGAGAGCTCTGTGCCAGAACTTTGCAGCCTAGAAAGCGTGTGTAGGTAGGCGTGTGTTTACCGCCATATTGCCAGGTGTGTCTTTACCACCATATTTATCAACCATATGTACATTTATCGGGGGGAAATACGGTATACACGCTGGTGGTGTCTAAATCATCCACTGACCAACGTGAGCAAGCTCAAAATGTAGAACGTGACGTTGTCTCCCTTGGCGATCATGTTGCCAGACCGTACAAACACAATACTAGTACTACCACGCTGGTGCTGCACTTTGCTCAAAGAACGCTCCCCAAAGTCATGCGCACATACAAGTGGATTTTAACTTAACTGCATATTAAAAAAAAGTTTCAGTCGGTGGTCAAGAACACGGTCGGTAGCGTTAGTTTTTTTTCGGCTTGACCTAATATCTATTTACTTTGCTCCAGCTCTGCACAGACCACAAACCCTGCCGCACCCATCATTTCTTCATGCAGGTTTACACATATTCTGCGCAGTACAACACCCATCATATCAGGATGCAGGTTTAGGGTTGGTTCACATAACCCAAATCTGTAACAGTTTTCCTCTCCACACTCTGTTAGATCCCTACCTGTATGCGCCACATCTAACACCTTACTTCTACACTAACAGCTAGCACCATATTTGTCAACACGCGCTCGTCTTATCTATGTGCTAAGCTTTACCATCATCCCGCCGCTCTTGCTGATTGGAAGCTGCGTTGCGTTGCTCCTGTAATTATTATAGTTCACTGCTCAGTTTAGTTTAGGTGTCTTATTCTGAGATTCAATCAAGACGGTTACATTGGTAGCAGAGGATGGTTGAACCAGAATCCCTCTTGCTGTATGCTCTCTGTCTGGCAGTTGCTTTCCTGCCCCTCTTCCTTTCCAGGTTGATCCGTGAAGTCACAAAAACAGGTAATAGTGTAACAGAGCGTCACGTGGACAGGAAAACCGTTACAAAATCGGCGCCGGGCAGCACCGGCGGTGAGTCAGCTCCCGATCCGTCCTGCATACGGTTCGAGTACCACATCTACTACAAATTAGTACAGAATGTGCCCAAATGCTACGACAGGTTTGCTAATTGAAGCTTGAATTCTAATGTTTCTTCAGTAGTTCAAGGTCTTTCCGTGATGGCCACTCGGTGCTAACTTTTACTGGAGATCATGAAACTACTTCTACACCTTTTATTGCAGTCTACAGGGGCGTCGGAAGGTATTTTAGTGTGGTACGGTCAGCCATCTGAAGTACAATATACTTGTAGGGGAGGGATGGCTGAGCCGAAAATTTGGAAATTTAGAGCCCAAATCAGTGCATTTATTGCTCCACGGAGTACTTGGGGCAAATGTTGGTACG